ATTGCTAGCTCGGCACGCGGGCCGCGAAAAATGGGAATGGTCTGGCAAGTGCGCCGTTCAGAGCCTCCATCAGAAGAATATCAGATACTCTGTATGTGCGAGACACTGATTTCTGACAAATCCGTGAAATTTATAGTACTCATTATGTAGTTCTGAATCTTAATGTTTTCCGAAGAGTTCAGATGATATAAAGTGTTTGTTAATGTTTTAAACAATTTTTATCTCCCGAGAAAGACACCTTTCAGAGAATATGTGTGATACGCTGGCCAATTTTCGACAGATCCGTAAGATTTATGGTATTCATTACGTAGTTCTGAACGTATGAGTCCTAAGAGAGTTTTCCGAAGAGTTCAGATTACATAAATTATTTTTAAAATTTTTAATCACCCGAGAAAAACACCCGCTTTTACGGGTATGTGTGCAATGTGAGATGCTAGTCGATTTCGAAACAATTTTATGTAATATACTTGAATATGCGCTTTTCTCGGGTGAGAAATTATTTAAAAAATAAATAATAAATGTATATAGTTAGAACTCTTTGGAAAGCGTTAGAATATGTTCAAAACTACACAAGACCATTATCATAAAACTCACAGAACTATCGGCCAGTCTCACACACATTCCTTGAAAAGCGCCTTCCTTTTTCGAGTGATATATATAAAATTGTTTAAAAAATTAACAAATATTTTAGCTCAGCTAAGATAACATCGAAATGAAAAAGACGTGATTTGTTATTAAGTAGTATGTAATTATGACGTAATCTTAAATACTAAAATACGTCGTTAGCATTACACCAAAAAGACGTATCACTAACGTATCTATATGGTGGACGCTATCTACATGCCCAAATTTCAACATGAAAGTACAAATGCTATTTCAATAAGATTTTATACAATTGCTTGATATTTATTCATTTTTTTATTATTCTTCCTCAATAGAAAATATGTATAAAATTGATTTGATATGTATAATTGTTTTTCTCAGTAAACCTTAAAACGAGTTCTCGCACTTCCGATTTTGATGAAACTAGCCTCAATCATTCGAGCGTTTATGCATCAAACAATGTTGTATATTAGCAACGGTGTAATTAATGTAGCAACGATGTTGCTACATTTCAAAACGTCCTCTTCGAGGAAAATTTTATTCAATATATTGTAATACACATTACATACATATATATATATA